TCTCCCTTCTTAGCATATCAGTGATACTTTTTTTTTAACTTTTTTTAATTGTTTTCCTAGAGTTTGCAATATACGTTTACAACTAATTCAAGTCCACTTTCAAATAACACTATACTGCTTCACAGGTGGTGTGAGTAATTTATAATAATAAAATAATCCTAATTCTTCCCTCCCATCCCTTGTATCATTGCTGTCATTCATTTCACTTATATATCAACAGATATAAGCATATATATGAGTATTTGTATAAGATATATATACATAAGCATACATAATTGAATACATGTTGCCACTATTTTGAACAAACTATCTTCTAGATCAATTACCAAAAAGAAAAATATAATAAATGTTTTTATTTTACCTTCAGTTATTCCTTCCTTTTTTTTTTTCTTTTTTGGTGAGGAAGATTGGCCCTGAGCTAACATCTTTTGCCAGTCTTCCTCTTTTTGAGTGAAGAAGGTTGTCACTGAGCTAACATCTATGCCAATCTTCCTCTGTTTTGTATGTGGGACACCACAGCAGGGCCTGATGAGCGGTGTGCAGGTTCACACCTGGGATCTGAACTCACAAACTCTGGGCTACCAAAGTGGAACACACAAACTTAACCACTAAGCCACTGGACTGGCCCCCCAGTCATTCCTTCTTCAGTGCTCTTCCCTTCTTTATGAAGATCCTAGTTTCTGACCTATATTATTTTCCTTCTCGCTAAAGATTTTCTTTTCACTTTTCTTTCAGGCGGGTCTACTGACAACAGGTTATGTCAGTAGTTGTTTGTCTGAGAAAGTCTGTTTTCCCTTCACTTTTGAAGGACAGTTTCACAGGGTACAGAGTTCTGGGTTGGTGGTTTATTTCTCTTACACTTTAAGTATTTCAGTCCACTCTCTTCTTGCTTGAATGGTTTCCGAGGAGAAGTCAGATACAATTCTTATCTTTGTTCCTCTATGGGTAAGGTTTTTTCCTAGCTTTTTGAAAGATTTTTTCTTCGTCTTCACTTTTCTGCAGTTTGGAGATGCTAGCCGTAGGTGTACTCTTTTGAGGACTTTCCTACGTGTCCTTCTCTGAGCTTCCTGGATCTATGATTTGGTATCTGACATTAATTTGGGGAAACTCGCAGTTATTATTGTTTGAAATCTTTCTTCTGTTCCTTTCCGTCTTTCTTCTACTTCTGGTATTCCCATGATGCATGTGTTACACCTTTTGTAGTTGTCGCACAGTCCCTGGATATTCTGGGTTTTTTTCGGTCTTTGTTCTATTTGGTTTTCAGTTTTCAAGGATCTATTGATATGTCCTCTAGCTCAGAGATTCTTTTTTCAGTCATGTCCAATCCACTAATAAACTCTTTACATGCATTCTTCATTTCTGTTGGAGTGTTTTTAATCTCTAGCATGTCTTTTTGATTCCTTCTTAGGACTTGTGTCTCTCTCTGCTTACATTGCCTACCTGTACTTGCATGCTGTCTGCTTTATACATTGGAGCCCTTAGCACACGAGTTGTTTTAAATTCCCAGTTTGATAATTCCATCATCACAGCCATAGCTTGTTTTGATGCTTGTTCTCTCTCTTCAAATTGTGTTTTTTTGGCTTTTGGTATGCCTTGTAATTTTTCTTTTTTTTTGATTTAATTTATTTTTATTTATTTGTGTGTGTGTGTGTGTGTGTGTGTCTGAGGAAGATCGGCCCTGAGCTAACATCTGAGGCAATCTTCCTCTGTTTTGTATTTGGGACACCGCCACAGCATGGCTTGATGAGCGTTGTGTATGTCCACGCTTGGGATCTGAACCTGTGAACCCCGGGCTGCTGAAGTGGAGTGTGAGAATTTAACGACTGCACCACCAGGCCAGGCCCTTGCACTTTTTCTTGATAGCTAGACATGATGTGCTGGGTGAAAGGAGCTGCTTAAGCAGGCCTTTAGTACTGTGGGGGTGAGGGGTGGGGGCAGGGGAAGTCTTCTAGGAGCCTAGGATTAGGTCTCAGTTCTTTAATGAGTCTATCCCTCTGGGCTGCAAACCTCACGTGAGTTTCTTGGGTTTTCTCTCCCCCTGAGGTGGGACAGGATGGCCACATGGGCTGCATTTGGGGATTTGTCTTCCCAGGGCAATTAGACTCTCATAAGACGCCAGCAGGTTAGGCTCTGGTTCACTCGTTTCCCCTGAAGGCGGGCCTTGTTAAGAAGAACGCTGTTCTGGGATATTTCAAAATGTTTCCATATCGCTGCCTCCTGCAAGAAGCAAGAGGAGAATTTTCTCCAGTATGTACTGTGGGAATCTGGTCGAGCTCCTGGATTAGAAACTGCATTATAAACAGTGCTTCTGTGGACATTCATGGAGATAAATCTTTTGTACATCTATGATTATGTCCTCAGGGTAATAAAATGCTCTTCTTGACCTAATACATAAGAAATGAGTAGAAGACATCCTGGACTCTGCCGTGGTGGAACCACTCACACCTTCTTTTCAGACGTGTGAGATGAAATCAGTCTCCTTGTTCTTTCATCGGTTCAGAGTGGTTGAGCCAGTGCTACGCAGCCTGTCACTGTTTTGATTTGCGTGCTTGGGGTTGAAGGGAGAGAGTGAGACTGTTTATGAAAGTGTTTCAAATTGTTAGAGAAATAAGGCCGCTTTTCATTTCATTTCAAGCAAGACTAGGACTGGGGAAACCTGGAAATCCCAGGTGCTTTCATAAGACAGAACTTTCATGAGACAGAACTTTCATAAGACAGAAAAAAACCCAAACCACACTTCCTCTTAGCTGTGGCATGGCGACAGCTCCTCCCTAGAGGGTGTCTCCTTTGTTACTCTGCTTTTCTGATAGAATCTCTGTTGCCTTTGGTTCTTCCTTTTCATCCTGTCAATATCCCTTAGCCAAAGACCACTAGGAACACACCTGTACTTGAACTAGTTGGGTGTTTTGGTAGTTGCAATGAAGAGAGAGCGCACCGTGGAGAACTATGGGGCATCTCAGGAAGAGGGTGTTAGAAAGGACATATTGTGGGATGTAAGCTTGTGTTAAGTGATTTGAGGGTGGATTCAAGGAAGCAGGGCTTTGCTATAGTTTGCTTGCTGTCAAAAACCAGGGGTAATTTTATGATTTGGTATATTAATGACTCTTCTCAAAAAACAGGGCAACCAACTATTCCAGTATGTTTGAGACAAAGGGAGTTGCTGTCACCCCATTTTCAGTACCCAAACCAGGAAAATCCCAGGCAAACTGGGAGGAGCTATTTACTCTACCTAGAAGGCAAGAAAATGAAAAGAGGCGGAGACTGGAATTGGTAAAGAAGCAGTGTCACTCACAGGAGCCAGCATTTGAGATCTTTGGTCGTTTTTGTGATTTGGCAATGTTCACGTGTTTGCCTCAATTCAGACGTGATTACAAAGTCTCTCATCTCTGACTCGATGCCCCATGGTGACAGAGTGGCCTTTTCTGATGCCAACGTTCTGTGAAATTGTTGATGTTCAGTAGGAGAACGCCAGGCCAGCTCCTAACACCAGGCCGTCAGTGCCAGGCCAGTTTCCAGCTCCTGGGAGCTGCTTTCCTTTGTTCTAATTCCCTTCTTGGGGATGTGAGGGATAGTTTTGGGGTTGGCATAAGAATTTACAGCTGTGGCCGTCTTGAGCTTTGGTTTCAGCCACATTGGTTCTGTGCCCTAATGAATTGCTTTGGGCTTTCAAACATTGAGTAATAAAAATATTATCCACCTCTCTTAACACAACTTTTTATTTCCCAATAGAGAAAAATGTTTTAATGGTTGAGATTGCCAATGAAAATAATCCATAACCAATCTATAAATGAAAATTTGGGTGAGTTTATTCTGAACTAAAATGTGAGGACTGTGGCCCGGGGCCTTTCTTCCCAAAGGAAGAAAGGGCACCAAAGAAGTGGGGTGTACAGAGTGGTTATATACCCTCAAAGAGGATGTTTCACATATGATTGAAATGTCCTTTTACAATAGTTGCGAGACTGCTCTGTCGGCACAGTGATTGGTGGAAACAGCAGGTAGGTCTGCTGTCTCAGTGGACATAGCAGGGTGGGAAGTCTGTTGTCGCGAGCTGGGTGGTCACAGGTGAGCTCAGCAATCAGTTCCTAGCCTAAGGAAAGATACTTATCCCTAAGGAAATGCCAATGTGGGGGGAAGTTGCACCTTTATCTTAAGGCCATTTGTTCTTGCCACAAGAAATATTTAAAGCAGATATATAGTGTATGCTCAACGGCCAGAGTCAGGCCCTTTTGGACAAAACAAAGTCAGGCCGAATTAGGTTTACACCAAATAGCTTCCTCATATACTCCAATACATCCTATTGCTTGCCATTTCTATTTGGCCAGATCAAATGCTAAATCACTAAACGTTAATACAAAAAAATCAAATACTATTTCCCCTTCTCTGAGATTCAGAATTCACATTAGCATATTTCAGTGTTCTTAGTAATACTGCAAAAAAGAAACCCAAATTACTGGATATAGGACACTTTCTTTCACAGAACAAATTAACATTTTGATGAACACTAATATTTCACTATTACAGTAGTGTTTTGTAGAAATACTAGTTTATTGTGATTGTCTCCTAGTTATGCTTTTTTGTTTTAAAAAATTAGAAATCTATGTAAAGGGTAAATAATTGTTCTGATTTAAGTTGTTCTGATTTAAAATGAAGCAAATTTTCTTAATTACAGTCATTTAAAAGAGAAAGTTTCATGTTGTTCAGATTTACTGCTTTAATATTAAGAGAAAATAGTAAATGGAGGTTGCATTTTCTTGGGGGAAACATTTTACTAGTGGATGAATAGATTATCATGTAGTTGCTTTAGTTTGCCACTAAGGTTATGATACTAGTTAAATTGAGAAGCATTATTTTAATTATTGACATTGGTTCAATTATTTCAGCTATCTTAAACTCAGTGCAGTTGTCCCATATGTTAATTCACTCAATTGTTCAGCAATTAAATGGAGGAAATAATATGCCTTTGGCTGTATTGTAATCTACATTCATGAACTTTTCTCTAGGTTGTAAGGACTACCTGGAGGTCGATATTCCAACAGACCTAAGAGTAGAACATTCTGGGAAAATAAGTGAGAGAAAGGAAATTGAAGAATTGTCAGAAGCTTCCAGAAACACCATACCACTGGCAGTGGTGCTTCCTGCTGAAATTCCATGTGAGGTCAGTAAAGATGCCTTGTTATGTAAGTGGCCCTATTGTTTTAAAGGATATTGCATTTCACTAGAATGTGAGCTCCAACATAGCTGGCGTCTTTATCTACTTTGTTCGCAGCTGTATCCTCAGAACCCAGAAAAATTTCTGCAAGTAGTAGGCATTTGATACATATTCATTGAATAATTGAATATTGGAGAATATATGAAAGCTTAATTTTGTCAAATGTTACTTGGCACGTTGCAAACAAATTTACAATTTCTATATATATCAAGCTACTTAAAAGAAAGTTGGATTCATATTAACCGGATCAGGGATTTTATTTTCATAAAAGGAAATGTATTCTGGGATAGAATTTGAAAATACTTATTTTTTAGAACCACCAGTTTCTCACTATATAACATGTATTAAAGGCCTACATTTTTAAGTGGAAATATCATAGGAGTTATAAGAGCTCGTCCTTTGGGGAATAAAAATATAACGTGGGGTGGATTTCTGAGAAGGTGACTGAATGAATACATGCTGCTGACATTTCTCCCTCCTGTCTTCGCTGGAAGGAACCACTAAAATCAGCCTATGGTGCCGTTGACCTGCGTCTCAGGCTCCGTGGTCTCCAGATAATAAGAGATGCAGGGAGCCTTGGGAGCTGCGTGAGAGGGTCCTTCTGGGAGAGGCGCCGGGTCTCCCCGGCTGTCTGCGCCTGGGGCTGCGCTGGCTGCTGGCTGGGAGGTGGCATAGGGAGGGAAGCCCGACCCTGCTGTCCCCGCCGGCCTGGGGGAGCTGCACGTTCTGTGCAGTTGGGCCAAGTTTAATTCCCTCACCCCCGGTCCCGTGCCTAGGCTGGAGAATCCCTCTTTTCAGCTGTTACGCTGTCGGTTCAGAGGAATGAAATGTTCTCTGACACCGCTTTAGACACCCGAGGAGCTGAACTGCGCAGGTTTGAGGGAGCCCACGCTGACGACCAGGCAGAGAAAAGTTACAGCCCACTCAAAGCACTTGGGGCTTAGGGAGGACGCTCAGGCTAAACGGTCAGACCAGTGGTTCCTATGTAGTCAGGAGCGATGGAGGAGGCAGAAATCAACAGAGAAGACCGCAATGAAAGGGAAACGAGAGCTGTCTTCAAGTAGGTAAACTTAAAGCAGAAAAAGACAAAAGAATCCTCTGGAACTAAAAATAGCTCACCAAGAATTATGCAATAAGTCTAAATAGCTGCTTTTAAAAGATCTGCAACAGTAAAATTTGAACAATATAAGTTTCTTATTATTGAATTTTCAGAGAAATCAAAATCCAAAAATTAAACCCACTGCCCCCCAGGCAGAGAGCTCACTCCGGCTGCTGGTTAGGATTAGCGTGCTTTCCACAGCAGCACCACGGGCTGTCTTTAACTGACATGGATATAATTCTTCCAGACCCTAGGATGTTAAATTATTTTATTTTCAGATCTCTCATCAGTATCCCATTTTTTAATCAATCCTAAGGGTTGAAAGGTCATCCAACAATGTTTTAGCACCGGCCTCTCACCTTAAAAATTCAAAATAAGCTAATCCCTGGACCAAAAATAGTTATCTTAGTCAAAACCTCGTGTTCTCAGAACCTAGATCTCACTGCAATCTGAATCCGTGTGACAGTTGCCAAGCACCACAGGAAAGATCATCTGTATCCAGAAGTGAAAGTCACGTTTCAGATTTGCCAGCTCGCCTTCAGTCTCTGCCAGTTGTCTGAAAGCACAACGTTTGAGCTTACTCATTTCTGAGGTCTTCCAATTTGTGGGTGAATAGAGATGCCTTAAGAATCAGCCTCTTCTCCTAAGTAGTGACATTTGAGACTTCCCTGCCATCTTACAAAATCCAGAAATTTACAGTACTGTTACGACCAGTCACCAGGTCTTATTTGAGATGTACCTTTTTCACACCCAGCATCTTCAAAATCTCTGTTTCCCCTTGTAGTTTTGTGTTCCATCATGCCAGTGCTGAGTTGACTGTGAGTTCTATCTAGTGGCATATACTTCATTCTCTGTGATGAACAGGAAGTTAGTTAAGCCTGCCTCCTGCCGCGGAGTTGCTTGAGTCCGTGGCCCTGCCTCCTGGAGAAGCGTTCTCCACGTTCCCTCGTCTTCTGGAGAATCAGCCTTAGGAGATTGTTTAACGGAGGCCGCCGGTGATGCTGCTGCTGCTTTTGATGCCAGGAACCGGGAGTATTGATCCCTCTGCCCTGTCATCTTTCCCAGCAGTGTTCTTTTCCACGGATTTTGAATTTCCTGGGTCTTGAAAATCTTCTGCCACTTTAAAACCAGCAGAAAATATTTTTTCTTCAACATTTTTTTCTCACGCACTAATGAAAGTGTGTCTCCTGTGTTCTACTTATGTAAATTGTTTTCTATCTCTTTGAGAAATACCTACGTGAGTTTTAACAGTTTAAATCTGCTACTTAATTTGGCCTCTTCTTTTACCTTTTACAGGATTAGCATTTTTTAATGCTATTTTAGTATGTTTAAAATTTTCTTTTGTTATAGGCAAAGACATTTGTTTTTCTAGCATATTCCCCTTGATTTAGGGTAATTGACCATGAGAGTATTGAAGTCAGTGAGTTTTAAGTCTGCCAAACACAACCATTGTTCAAATGAATCTTACCCAATTTTGTACCCTTGATGAAAAATCCACCTGGGAGGCATTCTCCCATTGGCATAACATCCCAACCAGAACTGGACCTGGTCTATTATTTGCTTACTTCTCTTCCCTGTGCTGTGTATTTCTCCAAAGTCCTAATTTCATTAATCTCGGGCAGATTCCCTCAGAGCACCCATTCTCATCTGGCAGTGATTTGCACCAACCCCACCCCCCCACCCCACCCCCCAGCCCAGAAGATATTTGGCAAAGTCTGCAGACAGCTTTGGTTGTCGTAACTGGGGGCTGCTACTGGCATCTAGTGGGTAGAAGCCACGGACACTGCTAAACATCCTTTAATGTACAGGGCTGTCCCCATAGCAATGACTTGTCTGGTTTAAAAATGTCAGTAGAGTCAAGCTTAACTCCTGTTTCAGAGGATAGGAAATACATTCATGCCTCTTACAGTGAAAAATCACCTTCAGAAGCTGGCCCTGGGTACCGATGAACATGGAAGTGCCTCATTTGTGGTAGTCAGTATGCTTGTCTTTTTTTTAGAACTCTTCTCTAGAAACGGCTGAAAGATGGAGCCTGGCCCCTATTAAGGAGGGAATCTGATGCATAAGAAGCAGCCTATGTGAGCACTCAGGAGTGCGAATGAGCTGACTGGGTAAATAAAACATTGGAGAGGATGCTTAGGCTTGCTAAGTGTGGGAGGGGAGAGGCCAAAGTTATCAAGAAGTGACGTGCCCATGGAAGAGATCTCTGAAGAACTTGGAAGCAGAGGATTGGGGATCTGAGCCAAAGTGAAATGGGAAGTCATTAAAGATTCCAAGTAAGGTGACAGATATGAGCAACAAAGGAACTGAAGAGCTGTGCTGGAAGTGAACCCTCGGGACAGGAGGTTGCAGATAAGAGGAAAGGAGGGGCTCATGGTGCTGACCTGCAGGACCCCAAGGAAGCAGTGCATTGTCAAGGCACAAGGAAGGGAACAGAGAAGACTTTCTGACGGGTCCGGTATGTGGGGCAAGAGCCATAGCGGGAGCAGTGGCTGTTCCCTTGAGATAGGATCTTTTCTCGATGTACAAGTTAATTGGTGAGGGGAAATTTAGATCAAAATATCCTGTGGACAAGTACTTGGGAGCACTGGACCCTGGTGGGAAACTCCCGGAGTGGATGCGTGCCAGCAGAAATCATTTTTAATGTCAATATATTTGTAGAAACGCTTTGGTATAGAGCATTAAAGGTGTAAGTTTTGTTGGTGGGTGATTTATGCTTAGGGAGATAACATTTAAATAAAAGAACCTTAAAATTAATGACTTTTGGGTAAACACGATTTTATAAGAGCATATAGATGAGGTTCCTGTTTATTCTGTGAAGGACTGAAATTTAGTTTGATTTTGAAGAAAGCTTTTGAAAGGTGATATCTGAGATAATCATAAAAAGAATATTTCATTTTAGTTATTTTGAAGGGGTAAACAGTACAATGTAAAGAAGAGTGCAGATTTTGAATTTAGATAGTGGTTCTGATTAATCTTCAGAATGTAACTCTGTATTAGTTACACTGTTTGTCAAACAGGAAAATAGTCTTCCATTTTGGCTTTGGTGTGGTCGTGTGTATGTGTGTGTGTGTGTCTTGGTTAGGATTAAAGGAAATATCTTTAAATAAAAAGTGCTTAGCATAATTTCTAGTATAAACTTGATGCTCAATAAATATCTATTCCTTTGCCTTCTCTGTGTTAATTCCAATCTTCTTAGTCCTATTTTTTCCTGGATTTTTTCCAAAAAGTTTTCAATAACCTTTTTTACTTTATGTAAACAGATTTAGCTTTTCCACTTTAATAAAATCTTGAAACTTTTAGATTTATAACCTTTTGTCAATTCAGTAGCCTTCAGAGATGCTTATCATAAATAAAGAGTAACCAGAAAATCTCTATTAGGTAAGATTTAAGCTATTGGACATTTGAAAAATTTCATCAGATTTAAATTGTAAGAAATCTTAAAGCTAAACCTGTTCAATCCTCTCATTTATAGATAAATACACCAAGTTACAGAAAGGTGAAAGGAAAAGATTTGGAAAAAGGATTTGGTTAGCAGTTGCATTCCCGTTCCCTGGAGATCTGTGGGTGATGTGAGCGAGACAGGGAGCCCCACACACAGGGAAGAGCACGAGCTAAAGGGAACAGCTGTATTCTCAGTGTTTTCTCAGTTGCAAAATATGGTATTGGAAAAAAAATTGAGTATTCAGTACAGACCAAGTTGATCAAGTGGAAATCTAGAGAGAATCACACTTACATATTTCATTTCTAAATATGGTTGAAAATATGAACATGATAGAAGACATATAATGATCATATGCGACCTTTATCGTTAATAAATGTAATGAGTTATTTGGTTAATGTAAACTTCTTCAAATGCTTCATTGGGTTATATTTGTCATCTTATAGAATCCTGGTGAAATATTTATTATTTTGAGAGATGAAGTAATTGGTGACACTGTGGAGATTGAATTTACATCAAGTATTAAATGCGTTAGAACACGGCCAGCCCTTTGGACTAAGACAGTCTGGTATATGAAAGCTTTAGGTAAGAAGTTTTCTTGTGCTTTAACAAATATAAAACATCATCCTGAGTTTCTTTCAATAAATGTATGACAAATGGTTTCACTTCCCTACAGAAATTAATATTGTTCTGCAGGTGTTTCCTGTGCTTAGTTGTCGCATACCCAAGGATGTTATTATTAACCTGGATTCACAAAAGTGCTAATGTGTGAATTATGAGAAATTAACCTGCATACCATGTGGTGAAACAACACACAGTAACATCTCCTGTTTTGTGTGTCAGCAGAGAGCACTTTAATATATGTCAGCTATTAAATATGGAGCTAAACTTGTTTGCTTTATTCTCACTTCTTCCTATCATGGACAAGAGATGCAGAAGTGGGAGAGGAGAGGAAACCCCCTCTGTCTCTTTCTCTTCCAAAACTCCCTACTTCCTATGCCACATTTTCAAAGGACTTAATGAAAAATAACTTCTAACTAATTATTTTTGGAGGTTAAGCTAAATCTAATTAGACTAAAATCACTACAGAAAAATCAATATTGCAAATGAAGAAGTACTTAGATAATATTTGCCAAACAGCAGATCTAAATGTCAAATAAAATTATTCACATTAAGATTTTATGTTTAGTTTCCCTAGTAGCTAAGAGTAGTACAAAGAACAAAATATGTCAAAGTTCAATGTTTTTCAGAAAAACAGAAAACTAATATTCCATATTTTCTAAGATATACCAAAACATAATACTGTCTATGTGGTTGAACAGCAAATTTGTTGTAAATAAATAAATGAATAAACCACTGTTTACCAGTTATGCTAACTAAAACCTCTATAAGTCTTTTTTTCAACTGGTGTGCTCTGTAAATTATGAGAGATTTTCTTACAAAATGTTGGCTGTTATGTAGCAGTATACGGGGTGGTTCCATGAATGTGTGTGGGAATACAGATGGGACTTGCCTTAGCAGAAATGGCCCCAGAGTCTTATTTTCTCTGCCTCATGGCCTGTTTCTTGAAGTTTTTTGAACGCTCGCAAGAACTGAATTTTACATCTTGACCTAGTACGTATGCATAAATACATAATTAAAATAAAGATTTTAAAAGCAATACTTAGACTGAAGGTTTCAGCCCTGACAGGTACAGAGCTTGGAAGTTTTCACTCACATTCTTACAACAGGAAAAAGCTGAACAAACTGAAAATCAAGGACTTTTCCTGAACTCATCAGAGAATTAAGGTTTCAAGGCAAACTGCCACCTGAAAATCTGGAGAGAGGTAATCAAGAGAGTGACATCGAAGAGCTGCTTACCTGGAGCAGAAGTCACTGGAGCCGTCAACCAGTAGCAGCACTTAAATGGTAATTTTGATGAATTGCTGGAGGCTGAGTGTGGACAATTTGAGAGCAAGATTCTCCTGGGGACTGTAGTCTTTGGAGGCACCCATAGTCTTGTGAGATTTACCTCCAGGAACCCAAGCAGGTTTGCATTGTGAAGATCTGACATGGGCCTATGAAAAGACTGAGACCTAATCATGAGATCAGAAGGCTGCCCATCGCCCGGCCTGCCCACCATGCAGGGCTCCCTGGAATGGAAGTGGATTGCCTTCAAAGTACTGCACGGTGCAGAATGCTCCTGAGGGAAGTACTTAGGGAAGAACAAGGTCAAGAGGGGAGACAAAGACAAGGCCAGCAGAGGAATTTGAAGCCTCTGGCACCTACAGCAACGCAAACATTAACCACCGGCCAACTCCAGGATGGCCCAGTGGCATAGTGGTTAAGTTCACACAGTCTGCTTCAGCGGCCCAGGGTTCACAGGTTTGGATCCCGGGCACAGACCTACACATTGCTCCTCAAGCCATGCTGTCTCATATACAAAACAGAGGAAGATTGGCACAGCTGTTAGCTCAGGGACAATCTTCCTCACCAAAAAAACCGCCCCCAAAACAAAAATACAGCCCAACTCCTAGCCAGATTACTGTACACTCTCTCACTACATGCCGCCTTTCTTCAATTCTTATACCCAACACAGCATGTCTGGTTTTCAACAAGAAATTACAAGACATACCAAAAGACAAGAAGAAACATAGTCTAAAGAGGTAAAGCAAACATCAGACTAGATTTAGATGTGACATTGATGTAGGAATGATCAGATGAGGAATTTCAAATAACTGTGATTCATACGTTAAAGGCTGTAATGGAAAAGTAGACACATGCAAGAACACACGGGTAATGTAAGTGGAGAGAAAGAAGTTCTTTCATTTTTTTCAATGCTAGTCAAAACCTACTAAACTGACTCCGTGATGTACAAGTGGGTCACAAACCACAGCTGGAGAAACTGTGCTTTGTAGCTGCACTGGCCAATATGGTAGCTGCTAGCCACATCTGGTTTTTTAAACTTTAATTTGTTATAATTAAATAAAATTTAAAATTCAGTTCCTCAGTTGCACTCACCCTATTTCAAGTGCTTCCTTAGAACATATCCATCATCTCAGAAGTTTCAATTGAAGAGGACTCATGGTACAAGAGTTCCTTTTTCTCTACATCAATTTTGGAATAGGAGAGAGTGCCCATCGTGCTCTCAAAGGCTAGTGATCTGTTCAGAATCTGCAGTGTAACCAAAGGGTCACTTAACTAGTGGCCAAGAGAGCTCTTTTTATTCTGTGTTGAGCCATTTACTGAGTAACTGTAGACAAGTCTCTTAATTTTTCTGTGCCTCAATTTTTTTGTTGATAAAATAACTTCTCTACTTACATATCAAGCACTCACTTATAGAATGTTTGGAGATAAGGGAGATAAAGTATAAGACAACACTTAACCAGACATTCAAGTGAGGAACAAAGTGTCAAGCTCTCCTTCTAGCTATTCCCTTAAACATAAGGATGGTTTTTCTGGAATAAACTATCCTCAGCTTCTGGATGGAGTGTGGTAAACTGTCTCAAAACCTCCTACCTCCTTCTCTTCCCTACAAAGAAGAGAATGGAGGGGACCATCTTTATTATAAATATTACTGCTCACATTGCCCCTCTCTTCTCCTAGTCTTCTGCTTGTAGCTCTTGATGTAAAAGCCCCCAGATTTGTTTGTCCTTTTTCACTCTTGGGAAATCATGTTCAGGAGAGCACCAATTCTATGCCAACTCATGTGTAATCCCTATACTCACTGGTGACTTCCAGAGGCAGGAAATGATCTCAATAAGTATCCCGCACCATCTAATAACAATCTATGCAGATTTAAGTCTTTAACTTTTTTTATATACTTCTATGGATACCAAGTTAAAATGGGGTGACTAAAACTAAACTGGAAGCTTCCTAGGGACCCTTCCCCACTCTCAGAATTCTTTTGAAGAATATTGATGCCTCAAGTTCAGGAGGCAACCTCCATCTGTCCAGTCTCTTTCCAGTCTAGAGAAATTGCTCATGTGACTTGATTTCTGATCATCTGCTTCATGAAATAATTAATCAGACGACAAAATGTGGTTTGCCCTCTGTAAATGTTCTTTTGTGTTATACCCAGAGCTTTTGGTACTGAGTGTGGCTGGTGTCGAGGGCTGGTATGGCAGTTTCACAGCATTGTCTGGGACATGGGCTTATTTCTAGTCACCATTCCCTAGTCACTGAGGTGTGGCCACAAGCATCATGGAGCAAGATGGCTTCTAAGATTCTTGCCATCACACTATACTCTGAGCAATATGATGAAGCAGTCGGGGCTGGAGCCATCTCACATTGGAGTGCAAGAGCCAATTCTATGCATCTCTTCCCTACTTCATTTTCACAGATGTTACTTTGTGCATTAGTCTTCTCGGGCTATCATTAGGCCGGCTCGGTGGTGCAGCGATTAAGTGTGCACGTTCTGCTTTGGCAGCCCGGGGTTCACCCGTTCAGATCACTGGTGCGGATGTGGCACCGCTTGGCAAGCCATGCTGTGGCAGATGTCCCACATATAAAGTAGAGGAAGATGGGCACGAATGTTAGCTCAGAGCCAGTCTTCCTCAGCAAAAAGAGGAGGATTGGCAGCAGATGTTAGCTCAGGGCTAATCTTCCTCAAACAAACAAAACAAAACACAGACTGGATGGCTTAAACAACAGAAATTTATTTTCTTGCAGTTCTGGAGGCTGGAAATATAAGATCAAGGGGCCAGAAGTTGGTGTCCAGCAAGGCCTGTTGCCTGGGCTTGCAGATGGCCGCTTTACTGCTCTGTCCTCGCATGGCCTTTTCTCTGCGTACATGCGCTTCTATTGTCTCTTCCTCTTCCTGTAAGGATACCAGCCCTTTATATAAGGGCCCCACCCTTATGACCTCAATTTAACCTTAATTACCTCCTTAAAGGCCTTGTCCCCACATACATCCACGCTGGAGCTTAGAGCTTCAATAGAGGAATCTTGGGGGACACGATTCAGTCCATAGCACTTTGGTAGCTTGCTGGGAATATTTTCACCACAGAAACTGGCAAAAAATAGAAATCAAGTCTTTCTTTTTCATTGTAGAGAGTCAGTTTATCAGCACACCGCTGAGAGAATAAAGAAGGCCTCATTAAATTAAGAAGGTTTCTGTAAGACACATCTGCTGAAATCTTATTAGTCAGAACTTAATCCCAAGGTCACATCTAGCTGAAAGTAAGATTGGAAAATCCAGTCTTTTTAGCTGGATAACAATGTGCCCAGCAAAAACAAAAAGTCAGAATTCTGTTTCTAAAAGGAAGAAGAAAATAGACGTTGGGGTAGGCACTAGCATTCTTTGTTAGAGAAGGGTAGCCCCGGGACAAACTATAGTTCTTCCTTTTCTTTGAATACCTCCTCTTAACCATTACAAATAAATAAGTGTGCGCGTGCGCAATAGTCTTTCAACAATGAGGCACATCAAATACTCTCCCGTCTCCTTAAACAGTTCTCAGAACTCTCAGACTTTTCTCCACCCAACCCAACACTTTAACATATTATTGTTATTTTTAAGTCTGTATTTCTTTACATGTTACTAATTTGGTAACAATTCAGAGAAAAACAAAATTACGTTAAAGTACAATTATGCCAACCTGTGAAGAAACCCTAAGAGGGCATGTTTCCCTGCTAACACCCTTCAACATCATCGTCTGATTTTTTCAATTTGAGAAAATATCCTCTAATTTTGTCTTCTCTTTCCTTTTAGCTCAATAACTTGGTACACTCCTAATTCCTTCATTGTCTAAACCCAACACCTTCCAGGGTGTCCACAGGTTTGTGTCTGACAGGAACTGTTGTGTCATAAAGGAATTTGAAGTCACTATAGTTGCAGCTTATCCCAAAACTTATAAAAATACATGTGAAGGCTTTAAACTAGAAATATTAACTAATTTTTACTCAGAAGGAAGGGAGTATTCCTCTGGTACCTACAGCTCAGCCAGAAAATATTATCACACGGCAAGGGGACAACCAATTAAGAGTTGAAAGGAATGCAAAATGTATCAACAAAGATATAGAATCTTTTTATTAATTAAGAAACTGTGTTCTGGATAATGTCAATTATCACTTCATGTGTCATTAAAAGAGCATAAAAAATACTTTGGGATTTGCCAAATGTTGTACAGAACCTGCTTAGAAAAATAACAGCTGATAAGAATTTTTTTAAAATGTCATTATTCAGGAAGATGATTTTAACATATATTAAATTGACATTAATTTTTAGGCATGACCAAAGTTGTGAAGTCACTGAATATTTAATAATAATGTTGTAATTAAAAGAGAGTCATGTTGATTTCAGTTCTCTTGGAAACATTAGGTGGGGTCATTGAAGGTTTACCATATGGTAAAGGGCTAAAATTGGTGCAGAAAGGATCACAGCTTTTCAGATAATGGAAAGAAAGAAAGCAATAAAGCTCTTAAATTACTGGATTTGTGAAATATCCATTTTTATGGATATAGTGAATATAGTTCTGACTATTCAGAAATACCTTTGGATTCTATTTTCCATAAATTACTTCAGTTTGCCCCTCATCTGAAAGGACAGATCACTTAAATCATGGAGACAGGGAAGGTTGACAAAGGCTCTTGAATGGCCTGGAGCTTGAGATGTGAAATTTAAAAAGAATTCCTTTTTACCCTTGCTCCTCTGTAAGTGTACTTTCTTGTGTATCTATGCCTGATGGGGGCAAGGAGTTCCATCTGTTTCTTCCATGATAAGCCTTTTTCCTCCTCAGAGCTAACTCTCATACCCTTGCTTGGTTTGGTGATCTTAATCTATATTTGTGTGTCCTTCCAGTGTTAAATGTTACTTGCCTACTTTTGTCTACAGAGTAAATAGCAAAATTCACTTTCCTCTTTTCTGTTTGAGTCCTTAGATTAAAATTCGTTTTTACCTTTATTGAACGACTGTAAAACGTAGACATCATAATGACCACAATTAAAGTAAAATAATGCTCAAGCTGTATGAGGTACTGTTCATGAAGAGGTCAATTCAATAATATGCTATTAAGGAGGGCCTCCCAACCAGATGAATCCATAAGAAGTCCATCTTGATATACAGGTGCAAACAGTAATTAGGTCTTGATTTAACAACTGATATTCAACAGGTATGAAAATGTGCACAGCGAAGACAGTACTTCAGAGGGTGTCTCTTTCAAAGATTACTCTAAAATCAACATCATTACCAATAGATCCAATGGCAAAGTTTGAGTCAACTAATAACTCAAGATATCAGGAATAAATCAGTTCATTTTCATGTTGGATTCTAAATAAATTAGAATATTTTAAGTGTTCTACATCAAAGAACCACTAAGCACATCTTCTCACTATGTATCTCTCAGGATCCATCACCTGACTTTCATTCAGAAGGTTAACACATCATTGTAAAACTCCTAATCTCTGTTCCTATAAACAAAACCAATATCTTCTTTCAAAATCATTTTTGTGAAATCTGCTAAGATTGATTTCATTTGATCCGGTAATTCCAGAATCCTTACCACATGTGCACTCTGTGGCAGATGAGATGTACTTTACAACTTTCAGGGTTTCGTTGTGACTTTTCTTTGACTCTGTATTAGGTAGATTCTTCCTTTGGGAACAAAGGACTTTTCTACATATCTTTTCTTTATAATATAGGTTAAACATTTAGTCAGGCAATGTGGGAAGAGGAAATTTCAGCTTCTTGATTTAGTTAAGCTTGAGATTGCTATTCTTGGCTTGAAATTTCCCTGAGCAATATCCTAAGAGGTCCTTTGCCCTCTTTAGGAGATAAAGTAAAGTTAATGCCTAACTCTTAAGAACTTTTAGAGATTCAAAGCTTCATTAGGTGGCTAAGGCTGGAACTGGCTTTGGGTCTGATACTTGTTGGCTTATTCCAAACTCCAGATGTTTGGGTTGACAATTTTCCAGGAGAATTTGGGAAATGTCTCCTAGACAAAGAGTGAAAGTTTTTAAAGTGTGTTCTGAAAATGAATTTAAAGAGCTAAATTTTGTTTACTTTTGTTATAATAAAACATAGTAACTTTTCTGTTGAAATGATTGTTTATTCTTATTCTTTCACGGGGAGTCCAACATTCTTAGGTAACTAGCTCTGTTGGTATGTTACAGCAAAATTCACAATGCAGTGTGTCAGTTACCTTAAATTTGTTGTTCACAAAAAGACTTTGGACGAATGTATGGTTCAATAGTACTTATATAGCAAGACATTAAACCTTGCTTTCTCAAGGGTTTTCAGTGCAATCAATTGAATAAAAGTTCTTTAATTTTAATCTTCTCTACTCTTTCTTTTTCCAAACACAATTTTGAGAAACTTGCCTGTAATTAATGGGAATTTTCTTTATAAGATTTATAACAAATTCCTAAGTTTTAATGAGTGACTTTACTGTTCTAAATTCTAAAGTATTATGTAAAGATGATTATAGATTATTTCAAAAAAAAGAGGTTATAGGTAGGGAGAAAGGATTTAGTGCTTTGCTTTTATTATAATTTTGACATGTGTTTTTATGTCCTAAGGTTTTTGTTGAAAGAATTAAGTCTAAAATTGTACATCCATAAAACTATTTTGTGGTTTCTAACACTGAGAATAAAAAAGAAAACATTTAAGTGCCAGAAGTTGGTAAAATTGTTATAAATTCTTAAAGCCTTCCTTCAAATTCTCTAAGAGATATAACAGTGTGATACACGCGTTATACACACAGCTCCTAACTCTTGTTTGTGTTTTATAAGATTTTCCTGCTGGCCCTGTCAATGTCAATGTCTACTGTGACGGAATCATGAAGGCCACAGCAGAGATTAAGTACTACACAACAGCAAGGGCAAAGGAATGCTCATTGGGAGTGGCAGGTCCTGGAGATGGTGTGTGCTGGGTGAGTTGATCTTTCTATGAAGTTGATAATGAGCTTAAGAGCTAAAGGGGGACAAAAGAATGCATGCTTTGGTATAAAGTCTGCCTGTTCGTTGAATAAGAATGAATCACTGATCAATAGGAAAGGAAGAAACCGACCTCTGTGGTGCAGAGATGCAGATGAATTGGTTTGCTTAAGTAAAGCATTCCAGATAATGTCACTGGAAGACAGATTATCCATTACAAAACAGCTATGGCGGCAGGCTCAGTTTAAAGCTGTTACAGAGCAGCTAAAGAAAGACAGAAGGATTAAAGAGAATTAAAGGTTTAAAGCTAGAATTTTCTGGGAAATATGCAAAGAAGCATTTCCAAGCCTCAGTTATTTCTCTAGTGTGACAAAGTATTACTGAGCAATGACGACTTGGTGAGGAGTTTCCAGTCTTGCTGAGGGGCCCTTGTTTGGGACCTTCTCTGGGGAATGCAGATGCTGGGAATGCCCTGCCCGCATGGATTTAGAACTTAACAATTGCATTTTGATTAGTCTTAAGCCATTAGTTTAATTTCTGCATTTTACTTTATTTTTTTGTTACCTGACCCACTTTCAATAAAGAGAAAGCTTGTTTAATGTGGAACTTTTATCCTTTATATGCTTATTCCATCAAATTTTCGGAGTGAAATAAATGTAATTTCTGTTTATAGCTACTTGAAAATTAGAATTATAGCTTTGCTCAATTGCCGTGGTTTTTTTTTTTGTGGGGGGGAAGGGAAAGTAGAAGGAAGTAGAGAAGAAGAAAGGGAAAGTTGAATGAACAATGTGATCTTCAAATTTACCACAAAATATTCTATGAGAACTGGTAACAAAACCATCCGTGATGGTGACATTCAAAGCTTGTCGTGAAGGCTTCTGTGTGTAAACTAGTTTGGAATGAGAGACTTTGTTACTTATGTTGTGTGATACATTTTTCTATTACAGTTCTCCTTTGTGAACGACATATTTTAGAACAATGGATAAGGTAAAAATGTCTTAGAGGACAGGGAATAAAATACCATCTATCAAACTGGGGAGTCTGAGGACATTTGACAAAATGTCTATATTGTAATTGCAAAGCAAGAGCAAAAGTAATAAATAACCTGAAATATAGATTATTTCATTTTCTTGTGACAAGTCTACCTTATCTTTTATGTAAAAAATTCTCTTCAGTACAAAAAGATTAATAAGAGCAATATATTACATTACCAGTCTTCAGCATGGAAGGAAAGTAGTCCCCAAAACATATATTTGTGTTAGTTTTGCCTTTAGAGGGGGTAAAAAAACCTTTGTATATAGCGAAAAGTAAATGTAATTTATGACTCTTGGACAGTTTTTCAGAATGCTGTAGTGTGCAAGTCATGATTTCTTCTACAGCTTTCAGTGAATAAAAGCTTCTGTGCATAGTTTTTAGATAACTAGAAAATGATCCGTTTCATTTTCACCCTCAGTGTCAGAAAGGAGAGGCAAGAAAGGGCTGTGGTTACATTTCAGGATTTCCCCCTCCACCGGGCCCTGGAGGCACAGGGAAAGGAGGAACCTGGGCAGTCGCAGCTCGGTGCAGGCTTCTGCCCTCAGAAGGAGCCACCTCACCCCTGAGCAGTGGGTGCTGACAGGTAGCATTATTGTAACTTGGTGACAGCAGACCACAGCATGGTAAGAAGAGACATTCAGATTAGGTTTAATATATACAACTGAATATGGGCCTAGAGGTTTTGCTAGTGTCATCAGGGGACTTAGACATGTTGTGGGATTAGATTAAACAAGTTCTAAGACTGAGATCTCAGACCAGACTGAGCTGTACCATCACAGGCCTGAAAGAAAGGAAAGGCTGCAATTCAGTCAGTGTCCACCAAATCTTAGAGTAGGTATGCCACGGAGTCTGTCTAACCCGCTGGCTTCTGGACCACATGAGTTATCCCACTGTGAATTCACTGAAATGGTGAAAGGCAGTCTCTCCCCTTGATGGAAAAGAAGGACCTGCAGGGCATTCCCTTGGTGTGTTTCAGGGGTGCTAGGCCCCAGAGGAGGTGTCCCAGGCCTCACTGTGCTGCTCCTTCTGGGCATGTGCATTTTCCTTTTGACATCTGGCTTTGCTCCCATGTAGATTATGTTTAAAAAATTGTATAAAAGCTTTTCTTTTCTTTTCCAGTATAGAACATTACAGTAATTGTTTCTTTCATGTGCTTACTACTCTATCACTTAACTGGGAATTTGGATATTTCTCAAGTAGTCCACTGAAGATCTCTATTCACAGAACAACGCAATTATAGTTTTATTCATCATAGTTATCATGTATCTGTAAGAATATATGCCAGCAAATTTCAATTTTTTCAGTATCCTACCTACTTAGCTGAAATGATATATTGTAGGAGCTTTCCTGAGTTTTCCTGTAAATTTTAATGGAAGATGTGATTTAAATAATGTTAAAAATTAATAGTAAGATACTTCCTGTAATTATTTAAAAGCCATTGGGTATAAAATAACATGAATATTCTGTGAATTTGAAAAAAGGAATAATAAGAAGAAGAAATCTATGGGTTTTATTTTTCAGTAATCTTAGAATTTGTAGTAAGAGACTTTGTATGATCATTTCAAAGCTAGTGGGTATATAGTAAAATGACCATTCTGTGAATTTGAGAAAATAAATGATAATGAGAAATTTGAATTTCTTAGTTTATTTTTAATGATGTTCATTACATTTTAGAATAGTTTACCTAAACCAGCTTAATTATCTAATTGCTTCCTAAATCATTTCATCTTTTTCAGATAAATACTAAATCCCAGCACATAGCATCATAAAGCTACAATTTCCAGAGCATCACCTTGAACAGTAAATTAGAGATTCAAATGAAAAATTCCAAAGCCCAGTTTGGGAAGATAATTAGAATTTAGGGATTAATGTTAGAAATACTAGTAACTCCTATTTAACTGAGATAATTAAAACCTTAGAGACTTTCATCCTATTTACACAAGTGTCCAGGGGCAACAATAAAGTTAACTTTGTATAGGAACGACTAGATACAGTGTAAACACCAAATTCGGTCAAAATGCTAAAAGAACATAGCAATTGTTGATCAAAGCATTAGGATGCTATTCATTAAAAGCATGGAGGGGTTTTGGTGAGGAAGAGTGCCCCTGAGCTAACATCTGTGCCAGTCTTCTTCTATTTTATATGTGGGATGCCTGCCACAGCATGGCTTGATGAGTGGTGTGTAAGTCTGCACCTGGGATCCGAACCCGTGAACCCCAGGCCACTGATGCAGAGCACACGAACTTAACCACTATGCCACTGGGCTGGCTCCTAAAAGAGTCTTTTGAAAGAATACCAAGTAATTCTTCTTAGTTGTGTTTCTTATTGGTAAAATGGTGCCTTTGTGTCGCATGTGTTTATCATTTTGCATGTTTTACTTTATACTTATCGAAATCTTATTTTCATCTTCATGTTAGGTACACTTAATTTACAGTTTTTATTACATTATATGTATTATTCAATCCTTGGTTTTCTGCCTGCAAATATTTAATACAGTGTGAAGCCAGATGTGGTTGGGGTTTTGTTAAGTCCTTGTCTTCCTCAAAAGGTTGACGGACATCCTCCTTCCTCTTTTCGTCGGCTCCTGTTGATGAGAGGTGCAAATGCATCTAGTCTCTAAACTATACTCATCATAATGCCAGTGCTATCTAAGATACTACCTAGCTGCAGACTTTCAGGGTCTCACTGGATAAGGTCCAAATTCCTTTGAATGGCTCCCAAGGCTGCAGGGTCACTAATCTTTTCCAGCATCAATTTCTACCACAGCATACCCTCTATGTCTTCTTCTTTTTATTTTTTTTATTAACTTTTAATTTTTTTTAATTGCAGTAACATTGGATTATAACATTACATAGCTTTCAGATGTACACAAGTTCTGTGTAGATTACATCATGTTCACCACCCAAAAACTAATTATAGTCCATCCCCTCACATGTGAGCCTAATCACCTCTTTGGCCTTCCCGCCTCCCTGCTTCCCCTTTGGTAATCACCAATCCAATCTCTGTTACTATGTGTTTGTTTGTCCTTGTTTTTATCTTCTACTTATGAGTGAGATCATATGGTATTTGACTTTCTCCCTCTGCCTTATCTCACTCAATATAATACCCTCAAGGACTAGCCATGTTGTCACAAATGGTCATATTTCATCATTTCTTATGGCTGAGTAGTATTCCGTTGTGCATATATACATCATCTTTTTATCCATTCGTCCCTTAATGGGCACCTAGGTTGCTTCCAAGTCTTGGCTATTGTGTATAATGCTGCAATGAACATAGGGGTACATGTATCTTTATGCCTTTGCGTTTTCAAGTTCTTTGGATAAATACCCAGCAGTGGGATAGCTGGATCATACAGTAGATCTATTGTTAATTTTCTGAGGATACTCCATAGTGCTTTCCATAGTGGCTGCACCAGTTTGCACTCCCACCAGCAGTGTATGAGGGTCCCCTTCTCTCCACACCCTCTCCAACACTTCGTGTTTCCTGTCTTGTTAATTATAGCCATTCTGACTGGAGTGAGGTGATACCTCATTGTAGTTCTGATTTACATTTCCCTGATAGCTAATGATGTTGAGCATCTTTTCACTTGCCTGTTGAACATCCGTATATCTTCTTTGGAGAAATCTCTGTTCAGATCTTTTGCCCATTTTTTAATTGGGTTGTTGGTTTTTTTGTTGTTGAGCTGTATGAGTTCTTTGTATATTTTGGATGTTAACCCCTTGTCTGATATGTGGTTTGCAAATATCTTCTCCCAATTGTTAGGTTGTCTTTTCATTTTGTTGGTGGTTTCCTTTGCTGTACAGAAGCTTTTTAGTTTGATGTAGTCCCATTTGTTCATTTTTTCTTTTGTTTCCCTTGCCCAGTCAGACATGGTACTTGAAAATATGCTACTTAGACTGATGTCAAAGAGTCTACATGCCTATGTTTTCTGCTATGATTTCAGGTCTTACATTCAAGTCTT